ATGGGGGGTGAGGGGAGGGGTGGGGGGTGAGGGGAGGGAGAGGGAGAAGGAACTTACATGTGAAACAAGCTTGTTCCCTAACTAGAACTAACTAATAAATAAATTAAAAAAAAAAAAAGACGCCCCCACCCTGACCCTCACACCCCTTTTCCACTACAATTGTCTCTACACTCAGTACAGACAAGCCGGTGGGAGACCAAGCGTTCCTGCCGGGTGAGTACAAGCTGGGCGCAGAGCAGCACACTCACCCATTGGAAAGGGCGCGGGGCACCCACAGGGACCCCTAGACCAGCGTTGGAGTCGCTGCGCCCATTTACTGCGGTCCCGGCGCACCGCGTCTGTGCCTCCCCGCGCCTCCCCGCGGCTCACCCAGAGTAGATGACGGCAAGAAGAGCAGCAGGACGACCAGCTGGACCCCGCCACGGCAGAAAGCTACAAGGCGACCCACAGGGCCCAGCCGCTGTGATCTCCGAGAACCCTTCAAGTCCATCTCACTGGTCTCAGGCACAGTCGAAGAGCAAAGAGAAGGCAACCACGCCCAGGGTGCAAGCAATGGCGCTGAGTTCCGGAGTAAAGCTTTCGACCACAGCTTCCTCTTGTTGGGCGGGGTCTTGTTTATTACTCTTTCGTGGGGTTTCCGTGGAATGTCTCCCGGGAAATCGCTCCAGGGACGCAGGCACAGGATCAAAACCTAGCAAGCCAGTTGCAGTATGTTTTCCTGTTTGTAAGTACCTTCGGTTCCAAGGAAAGCGAGGCATTGTGGGAACTCGGTTTGCATTTGACCCGGCCTTATTCTCCCCCCCCCCCTTTTTTTTTTTCAAAATACGCAAGGGTGGAGCCTAACCCTAACCTGCCACGGAGAGCCCACAGTTGCCCTGTGTTGTGTACAGTAAGAACCTATTTCCTTATGATGAATTCAGCTGTAACGTGCCACTGGAAACAAAAATTAAAGCAGTGAGTTGATCAGACAAATTTTGCAAATATGTCGACGCAAAAAACACAGCTCTCATCTCAGAAAGAATGAGTTTATTCTGGAGTCATTTTGAGGGACGATGGCCCTGGAACAATGATTTAGGTTACCTAAATTCCATGTCCCAATGTGGAAGCAGTTCCACTGAGTTTTTATGATTTTACAGAGCAGAGAAAGTCTTAAATCAAGTTTAAAATACGTTGGTGGGTACATCAGAGAAGCAGGGATATTAATTCGGGGGAAGCTTTTCTGTAGGCCCAAGATGCTATCTGATGGCACTCTTAGCTTTTGGACGGTAGAAGCTAGTTGCCTGCTAAGTTAGTAGATTCTAAAAGATTATTTATTGTTTGTTTGCTTGCTTTGGGTTTTTGTTTTGTTTGATCTACTGTCTCAAGAGGTTAGTTTTAACACGGGGGAGGGCATGGAATGACTATTTCGGAGGACCAGAACAAGATAAGGTAATCAGCGTCTGGACCTGCAACATTGGGTGCCCTGCCCTAGAGATAATTGTAGGGAGCTAACTTCTAAGTTATGTAGATTTGACTATGAGAACCAAAAGTTTCCTTGACTGTGTTTTCACACCAGGGCCCCAAGGTGTCGGGGAAGGTTATCCAGTTTGCCAGGACAAGAGGGGGTTGTGCCCAATAATTGATTAATACACTGCAGGGGCTTAGGGAAAAAAATCCCATTATGGAAAAGGGAGAGCAATAGGTTTCACAAGGGTTTTACAGGGATGGCAGTGACTATTCAAGGGCAGGTATCCCCAAGGCTTTGCAAGTGGGGATTTTCTCCAGCAGAATTCCATTGTGAGTTTGTCTACTGAAATCCCACTGTATGATCTTGTGGACCACAACAATTCCCTGCTTTTCGTCTAATAAATTCAGTATATGAATTTCTCTCTGGGCCATGTGCATTGTAGATCTTACTCATTTAAAGAGGCCTGGAATAAAATAAATAAATAAATAAAAGTAAATAGATTAGTGCTCCTTTAATTCCCAAATTGATAAGAAAGTTCCATAAGGAGTTGTTATTAATAAAATTTTTAACTGAATTAACAAATTAGCTATGTCCTCTGCTGAAGAAAACTGGAGCCTGGAATGGCTAATAACATTGGTCTGAGAATGTAAAGTACGCATAGCTGGGAACTTTCTTTCTTTCTTTCTTTCTTTCTTTCTTTCTTTCTATTTTTTTCAAGACAGGGTTTCTCTCTATTGCTTTGGAGTCTGTCCTGGCACTCACTCTGGCCTCGAACTCACAGACATCCACCTGCCTCTGCCTCCCGTTGCTGGGATTAAAGGCGTGCACCACCAATGCCTGGCATTGGGAGCTATTTTAACACCTCTCAAGTGAGCCTGTGCCTGATTCCATTACATATCTGAACCATTATAAGGTAAAGGAGTGACATCGATCCATCTAAAATCAGCCTGACTTGATGTTGTTAAATGTGTTTTAATATTGTGAATCTGATTTCCCATATAAAGGACAGCCTCTTCTTAAACATTTATTTTATCCATTAATCTTTCATCTATTCCTTACTGAGTGACTAGGGTCATAGAAACATTCTTTGAAAAGGAGCTAACATGGTTAGCAGTGTGCATCTGTTGAGTAAGAGCCATGGCTGTAGCAGCCATTGCACCTATAATTGTTATCAGAGCAGTAATGCTGAGTATGAGTGCAGCAATGAACCTCCTGGGACATGAAAGAGAATTAGCAACATGCTCTAGGGCAAATATGGCAGGGTCTTCATACCAGGATGAGACGAAATTAGCAGGTAACAGTTACATGTGAAGGAAGAAGGATGGAAGCTTTGGGATTAGTAGGAGAGTTAAGACAATTAGTCATGTAACAATTGTTACAGGAGATATCATAAACTGATCCATTATCAATAATGTTCAAAGTTCCTGTTTCCCCTGAATGTAAGATGGCAAAGTGGGACATGACATAAGCCAGAATGTCTAATGTGTTGTAGTTGAGCTGTATAGGAAATTGAAGGCCAACATGATCATTGGTAGTCAACAGATGACAATTGAGTCTGAGGTTTGGGGCACTGAGAAGGCAGGGCCATATAAACAGGACTGACCCAGACAAGTGTCATCCATTGGTTTACAATGGGCTCTAAGGAGGCGTAAGACCAGTCATGTATTTTAAACAAAATAGTGTTGTAAGAGCAAAACGCAACTCCTTTTTTAGGGAAAGCACATCACATCCATTTAGGACGGCCAGTGAAAGTTTGGGATCACAAACTGGGAATTTGGGGTGGGGGGCATGTAGCCTGGAGTAAGTCCAAATGGGTTATAGGCATTTATGGTAGAAGTTATATTTAATGACTGGCTAGCTTTGAGTGTCCTGTGCCTTAAAGGCAGACATCCTGATACAGGAGTAGTGGTTGTGATGATAAGGCTCTAGGGGGACCTTGGCGAATTCCATGGCAGGCAAGGTTGACCAAGGCAGAGGGACAAACATGCCAGACTTAGAGACATTAGTGAGAACTTTTATTAGAAAGGGGAGGGAGGGAGGAGGAAAGAGAACAGAGGCACAGAGACACAGAGACAGAGGACAGCAGAGAAGAGGGAGACAGGAAAAGTCCTGTCTGCCCCAGGGGAACCGTAGGGGAAAATAGCAGGAAAGAGAGGAACAGAAAAGAAAGAGTAAGTGGGGGTGTGGGGGGTGTCTTTTTTTTAAGGGGTCCTATGCACCTGTGTGCAGACTACTCAATCAGGGAACCCTGAGCTGGCCAGGGAACTGCCTGAGTGCATTCTGCCAGGTGGCAGGGGCAGGCCAGCATAATCCTCCAGTGGTGGAGGTGAAAAAACATGGGGGTATACTATCTGAATGTCCCTGGAAGTTAAAGTGTTTGGCTAATAGAGGATGTATGAAACTAGACACACACACACCCCAATTAATAGGGAGTCTTTGGAAATGACTTAATTCCTCAGAATCCCAAGTGCCTGAGAGGAAAAGAGGTGGTTCTGAGACATAAGTCCAATAGGTGTCCTGGGCAAGGGTGCAGGAAAAGGCGACCATAGATGACAAAGCTAGGAAATAATTCTCAGGAATTAACCCTTTCCGCTGATTCATCAGCCTCGGATGCCAATAGTGTTTAATCTGCTCCCAAGAGGAAGCAGCAGGCCTAATGGCGCAGGGGGGGGGGGGGGCTGATGAATTCAGAGGCCTTTACCAGGAACGCCAGGTCATTTGGAGTCTGTGTGGGCTTTCAGCTTCCCGGCTGAGGTTGGGGTTCGGTTTCATCTTGGGTTCCCAGGGAGGGAGCTGCCACTGCTGGCAGCTTTGGGCAGCTGGTCTGCCGCTGGCTGGCCATAAGGTTTAATCAATCAGTCTAGAACTCACAACAGTGATTCAGTGTCCTGTGGAAATATACAAGAATACCCTCTTCTTGATGTTATTAGAACACCTGAACCATTCCATTTACCGGTGAAGAGATCTTTTCATTTGACTAGAGGTTTGGGAGTGACATTTGTGGGAAAGTGTCTGAGGAAGGCATTATCCTCAAGAGATATTCATACGGCTACTATAAACAAGGAATGATTTAAAATGTGATGAGGAGATGAGTATTTAAGATCCCCATTTTGGCCAGGTGTTGGTGGTGCACGCCTTTAATCCCAGCACTCGGGAGGCAGAGGCAGGTGGATCTCTGTGAGTTCGAGGCCAGCCTGGTCTCCAAAGCGAGTGCCAGGATAGGCTCCAAAGCTACACAGAGAAACCCTGTCTCGAAAGATCCCCATTTTGCAATTTGGACATCTGAGTTTTCAAAGTATGATGAGCTCTCTCCACAATAGCTTGACTTTGAGGGTTGTAAGGAATGCCTGTGGGGTGAGAAATATTGAAGGTTGAGCACAATTTCTTAAAGGTCTTGGAAACATGCAGGGCCATTGTCTGTTTTTTAAGGCATTTGGCATTCCCAGCATAGAGAAGCAATGAAAGAGATGTTGTATTACATCTGTAAGAACCTCTCCAGTGCAGGCAGTAGCACAAATAACATGAGAATATGTGTCCACACACACCGAGAACAAAGGACAGTCTGCCGTTTGCCATAAGTCACAAGGACACAAATCTGATGTGGGGGGTAAGGGGTACTAACTCCCATAGAAAGAGGGGGCCTTGATGTGAGACAAGCAGGACAATGAGATAGAAAGCCTCAAGCAGCTTCATGTGGAAGCTGAAACTGAAGGCGAAAAGCTGAGGCATTTTGGTGATGGAGGGCAGGGCTCTTTTGAGCTGTCTCTGTAGAGTAGGTTATGATTCTTGTTAAAGAATCAGCCATATGTGATTCCCTTTGTGAATGGGTCCAGGGAACAGAGTATGTGCTCCAACATGTCTGATTAAATAAGGATGAGTCCTGGATTGAATTAAATTTTGTAATTTTAAGAGCAAGCTTAAAATAGTGGAATGACTTGAGGGAACAGGAGCTGTTTCTATATGAGGAAACAATCTGACTATAGATTGGGAATCAGTGTATAAATGAAAGGTTTTGTCCTTAAGTCTCTCAAAAGCAATAATTACCGCCATTAACTCCACTCTCTGTACAGAGTTTTCCTGTGGGGGGGGGGAGGTAGTGGATCTGATTTAGAAGGAAATATAACAGAATTTATTATTTTTAATTTTTACATTTTTGTTTTTTGAGACAGGGTTTCTCTGTGGTTTTGGAGGCTGTCCTGGAACTAGCTCTTGTAGACCAGGCTGGTCTCGAACTCAGAGATCCACTTGCCTCTGCCTCCTGAGTGCTGGGACTAAAGGCATGTGCCACCACTGCCCGGCTATACTTATATTTTTTATTTTTTCCAGAATTTAAAACTATGAATTTTAACAAATAATGATCAGGTATCTCTTAGGAAAAGGTGTATACCCTAATTGAGCGGTTTGTCATTCTATAGACTCATAAGACAAAATGTTACGTTGTTCCACTGTATAAGAAATAACTAGTTCATGAACAGCTTGTCCAAATAATTCCTTACTTCATTTTCTTCCTTTGCCTAATGAGGAAACAACTAGAGGGGTATAGGCAATCACAGTTTTCCTGTGAGTTACAGGCAAGTGCAATCATTTATCTGATCATTTTGCCACAGGCATCCAGTTGGTGTGTACTCAGAACAAAGTATAATGAGATGCCATGGTTTATTAAAATCTACATGAAGAAGCCTCTGAGAATTAAATTTCTCTTCTAATAGAGCCAAGGAACTTTTTGCTTCAGTTGTTAATTTCCAGGGTGATCTGGGATTAGGGTCACCATGGAGAATATCATAGTAAGGCTTGAATACAGCTGTGGGTATCTCTATGTAGCAGCGAACCCAATTAATATCTCTAAGCAGTTTCTTGAAAATCATTTAGGGTTTTTAAATGACCCATCCATAATTGGAAAGACTGGGGAGAAATTAAATCTGTGTGGATCACATGTCCCAAATAGGAAATGGAGGCTAAATTTGGATTTTTTTCAGGGGCCACCTGAAGCCCATATAAGGTTAATTGTTGAATCAGAAATTGTAATACCTCTTGCAAATATGCTCTATCAGCATGAGAAATCAGTATATCATCCATACAGTGAATGAGGACCACATCAGAGTACGTTTTACGAACTTGCAGGAGGGCTGCATATACAAACTTTTGACACAAAGTCAGGCTGGTCTTACTACCTGGGGGTAAGGTCTTCCACTGAAATCTTTGGTAGGGCCTCTGAAAATTAGGTGAAGGCAAGCTAAAAGCAGAGAGCTGACAATCTCTGGAGTGCAAAGATATGATAAAGAAACAACCCTGCAGAGATACCTCGCTCAGCCTAGACATGGGTGTGGGGGTAGGGAGGTGCCTTGGTCCTGCCTCAAGAAGATGATGGAACAGACTTAGTAGACTTCCTAATGGAGTCCTTACCCTCTCGAGGAG